TATATATATATATATATATATATATATATATATATATATAATATATGAATATATGAAAAAATGATGTGGGTACTCAAATGAAAGGTCTCGATGAGTGTAACATCGGGATGAGCTTATATCTTTAAAAATGTCAATAGTTCACAAGATGCAAGATCATTTCTTGATTATGTATCTAGAGATAGAGTATTTTCGACTGCAGCCTAATTACTCATCATTATAAATTTAATGATGAAATGATATGAAACCATGAAAAGGCAGAACTCCAAGTCAAAGTTTTTCCAACGATGCCAAATTTAACCATAAAAAACCCATTTTATCATATAAATACACTGGCCACATAATTTTGCTTATTCTTTTAATAATATAAATAATATTTAATTATTAATAATTTTTATAAAAACTTACCTAGTAATTTTATAATACTGATCATTAATGATAATCTCTTCATCATCTTGAGGCTTGAGTGGTTTTGTTTGCAACGAATTAAAAATTTTAGAAATTTTATCTCTATTCGCAACAACACTGATCATTTTTCCACAGCCCGCCATAATGGTAAGTACCAAAAAAACGTTGTCAATAATTTCACTGATATCTGAAGTCAGAAGAATCAAGTCAAAGAATCCCGAGATGACAAACAAACTCGGTATCAAAGTCATCAATAGTGTGTAAAAGTTGTAGGCTGTTGATTTCCCGCCAGTCCAGCTCGCGGGCTTCCAGAGACCTATGCACGTGAATATGAAGAAACACTCTGGTAGAATATCCATTGTGAGGAAGAGTTTGTTTTATTTGCGACGAGAGAAATGTTAGTTTACCCCAAGCTTTTTGCGACATAATGGCTGTTGGATAATAATGGTAAGAAGACAATGTATGTTTCTCTTAAAATTGATCATGAATTGTTGATGGTAATTGTAATAGCTTATAAATAATGAAGATAATAGTAAATTGCTCAGATAATTTAGTAATTTTACAATCGATTAAATTGCCGGTGATGAAGACATTGTCGGTAGTCATTGTAATTCAATATCTTGGACTGAAAAGTTCTTAACTAAAGACGAATATTTACTTAGTATTTTTTTAAGAAGAAATAGATTTAAAAAAAAAATATTTTATATTGATCTAAAATACATTTAATTCTTTTACTATTATTTTTTTATTTTAATTTATATATTAAGATTGTTGAAGAACGTTGTAAATGGAGTAAGACAGTTTAATTACCTGAAAAATAAAAATTAAATTTATTAATTAAGAATTTTTCAATTTTTTTTATCAGAAGAAATTTAAAGTGTTAAAAAAATTCTAAATTAAAAAAAGTCAAGTCTATAAAAATGAAAATTTAGATATTTAAAAATACTAATTAAATTTTTACTATTTAAAAATTATTTATCTTAAAAAAATTTTTTTTTTGTTTTAATTTCTTCTAATAAAAATTGATAAAGAAGTAAAAATCTTACACTTTTAAACGACTCAAGTGATAAAGTAATAATACCGCAAGACATAAAAATAACTGGTCTGAAAGTTTTTAAAGCGACAATAATCATCGATTTTTGAGCGCTATTGCTCAACTTGAACCAGTCAGTACTGTAAATAGCGTCGTTCAGATCTGCAAACTTCAAATTAATTATTAATAATAATTGAAAATTTTTAAAAAGGTAAGGTAGTGTTTTTTACTTAGACTTTGTAATAATAATAAGTAAAAAAAATATCTTTAGAGTGGAATTATAAATTGCAACTAACTTGAAGTGTCACCTGATGCGCCGACATGCAGACCAAAAATATTTGGAGCACTGTGGTGATTATGTAAACAATGCAGCTTATAAATTCGAAGGTAAATGTTGGGATGGTTGAAAGACTGTAGACAGTTGCGCATAATATCACTGAGCTTAGGCAATATTGGATGAAAACAGGCGTTGCGAATATTCCGTAGATGTAATCTGAAAAACTTGAAAATTTTTATTATTAAAAAATAAGAAAATATTTTTATGTTTAATAAAAATTTAAGAAGAACTAGAGACCAAATTAAAAATATATTTATAATTTTTAATTAATAGAATTTGACATAAAATAAATATTGATTATGATTATTTATCCAAAGAGAGAAGTCATGAAGAAAAAAAGAAGAAATAGATATATGAAATTTTTTTTAGTCAACGTAATTATGACTTAAAATATTAATGAAAAAAAAAATTAAATTTTAAAAAATAAAAAAAATTCAAATTTAAAGAAAAAAATTTTATTTTCAGTCAGAAAAATTTAATTTTGATAAAAAACATACAACTGGTTTGTATTCTTTCTTTACATTGTCAATTTTTATGATTTAATTTTTAAAGAAGAAATAATATTTTTATTCATAAATTAAAACAAAAATAAAAAAACCTGAGTACAGAATTGTGACACTCAACCCAGTCACCAATGAGAACTTTTTCTGAATTTTTCATTAGTTCAGAGCCAGAATTTTTCATTTCCAATTCATGAAGAATTTTTACAGCATTCTTGAAGCGGTACTCTAGAATACTTATTTGGGCAGAAACATAGAGCATCATTCCGGGAAACAAAGTGTCAAAGCCGACGTCAACGTAGCATCCGATGAAGAATGTTACCACCTGTTGACTCGCGGTCAGTAAGTAGATGCTTGGCTGGGAATAGTTAAAAGGCAACCACCCTCTGTAAGGCAGCACATCAGGTAATTTCGCTTCCATTATTCCGGTCAATGAAATTCCTGTGACTCCTACTGTCAAAAATATCCAATAGGAACGGGTTATAAAACTTTTTGGAGTTTATCGCCTTGCTCGACAATTTTCTAAGTCACTATTACACGGAAAAAAATTACCTGTGAAAATTCCATAAATATTTGCATTTTTAAATAATTTTATGCTTACAAAAAAAGACTTAAATTTATAGGTAAGAAAATTTTATTATTACGTTGTAAATAATTTGATGTTGACAAAAAATGATGTAAATTCTTCAAAAGTAAAAAAAACTTCTTTAAAAAATATTTCTTTCGTTTCTTAAAAAAAAAAAAATTCTAAAAAAATAAATTTTAATTAAAAAAATTTTTTTCTTCTTTTAATTAAAAAAAAAAATGACAAAACTATATTTTTAAATATTTTAAGTTTTTGGAAAAAAAAATTTATTTTTACAAAATTTTTAGAGTTACCCGTTTTACCCCCTCCTGTCTTTTCACCGTAAGCTCGGCATTTTTTAATTCTAAAATTAATAAATTTTCTAATGCTAAATTAACCATTTTGTACTGTAATTTTTCCAAGATTTTTTTTCCGCGCATATTAATAAAAAATCAATTATCAATACCTGCTAGTATCTGCGAATTTCTGAAGAATCATTTCTTCTTTCTGATCACGAGGTTTAAAAGGTTTTTCTTGCAAGTTTTCCAAAGCTCTGATAATTTGTCTTCTATTATAAAGAACACCGACTATTTTCCCGCAGGCAGCGACCATCGCCAGCATCATTGATAAATTGCTAGTGAATTCATTGACAGTGGAGCTCACTAAAACTAGGTCTAGAAATTCGGTAAGTGTGAATGTAAAATTTGTCAGGACTACAAAGCAACTGTATAAATTGTAGAGAAGAAATTTCCAGCCGCGCCATTCGAGCGGCCGCCAGAGACCGACTAGAGTCAGTATGAAGAAACTATGGGGTAAGATGGAACCGGCCATCGTATTGATTGTAAGCTCGGTTGGATTGGAACTGACAGTGAGTTTACGGAAGGAAGTCTGTTTTCGAAGTCGCGCATTAATTATTTAGCTTTTTATAATTCAAATTGCTGCAATTATCTATAGGAGAAATTGCGGCGATTAGGTTAATTTAGAATATTTATTTTCAAAGGAAGTTTGTAATATTGAAAATTGCAGAAAAGGGTCTGAATTATTGAGAGAACAATTTGTAACATTAAAAATTGTTAACTATTGTTGGCTTCTATTAATTTTATGTAAAATAGAAGCGGTCAGTTGTCAGTAGAATTTCACAGAGACAGTTTCAATTGAAAAAAAAAATTTTTAATTTAAGAAAATTTGACAATTTTTTTTTTCAATTAAATAAAAAAAATATTTAAAAAATCAGTCCTGCCCGGGATGAGTGGGAATAGTTGTCAAATTAATTGAAGTTTTTTTTAAGGAAAAAAAAAAAATGGCGAACTTCGAAAAAATGACGATTTTACTAAAAAAAAACCGATTATTTTATATAATTGATCATGTTAAATTTTGTTCGTGTATTTTTTCGAAAAGTTCATTCAAAAATAAAAAATTATTTTTAAAAAAATTTGAAAAAATTCTCAAAAATGTTTTTCAAAGGGTAGAAAAGCATGGAAAAGTTTCAGCAAAATTTAAAGGGGTTGGGTTCAATAGTGGTCGATTTGGTATGGAATATCCCATATGTTATATATGAAAATGCATGTGGGTACTCAAATGAAAGCTCTTGATGAGTGTAACATCGGGATGAGCTTACATCTTTAAAAATATCAATAGTTAAGATAGTACGGTGCAATTTAACAAACATCATTATTTAATAAAGCAAAATTTTATTTATTTATAGTTCACAAGTCACGGCAGTCACAAAGTGGCTGAAAGGTTGCTAGTTTTATTTAATCTGATAGAAAAAAAAATAGAAAATTAAAGAGCTTTGTAAAATTAAAACAAAAAATTTTTTGTTGAAAATAATAGAATTGTTTGAAGCTTAAGTTAGTAATCATACATTTTTTATGTATTGTATATTTGTGACTAAAATAGGTTTCTACAAACTTACAATACAGAAAAATAATACTCTTTTTTTAATTTTAACATCTAATATAATTTTTACACTATTTCAAGCAGTGACTATCGATTTAATTAGCAATTATTTTTAACTTCCCGCTAAAAATCCCAGATTTTCAAAAATCGGGAAGTTATTGTTTTCACCCCGTTTTACAAAAATCGAGTTTTCATCAGATCTCGACGTTTAAAGGTCACAGAAAGCTTCCCGGACTATTTTTACGATGATGTCCGTACGTCTGTGTGTGTGTGTGTGTGTTTTTTTTTACCTTTT